AGAGACGGAAGCCACGTAGGACACCAAGGACGAAGCTGTCAGCCAGGCTCAACTCTGTAACACCAGGGAGGTCCCATTGAACTCCAGCTGAATGCCTCGAAGGTGAAGACGATGAAGCCACACGTGCATAGTTCCCGTGAGGCGAACCACTATCAGCAGCAGCTGCATGGGTGGAGCCCACAGGTGAGGTCTGAGTCTCCTCATCTTCGTAGCCCCAACTGGTCCATGGTTCCTCTTGTTCCCACTCCTCATCATCTGGCGGGAGGTCGAAGTCCAGATCGTGCTGCTGGATGCCATTCTTCTCCTCATAGAGTCTAATGATGGCCTCACTGAACTCAGCATAGCATAAAGCCTCTCTGACAAGAAAGCTTTGCATGCTTTCTCCACTGTTTCGTCGGAAGCTAAAGTATTGCTGGCAGATCGCAGCTGCATTGGGAAGCGATTGCCGCACCAGTGGAGAGGATGCCAACCTGCGCAAGAAATCTCGAGTTCCGCCAGCATGGTCAAAGCTGACGGATGTCCATGACATAGCAAGTAGCCTTGCAGGGCCAGTGAGGCGTCCCACAAGGCGATGAGCGCAGTATCGCCGTTTGTGCGTTGGCGTGGATCGAACATACCAGCTCACTTCGCGATGGTATTTCCTCCACGTCCTCGCACTGCCGTCCCAGGATGGGACATGATGTCCGGAGTCTTTCTCCGTCATGCCAGGCAAAATGCCTGAGCCACAAGTGAACTCGCCAAAGAGCTCGGAGAGCAAGTTGAGGCACCAAGGAAGGCGTCAACCAAGTAGTTCCCAGTGAGCCAAAGGCGCAGGGCCAAACCAAGCAAGCCAGGTGCCAAGACCAAAGTCGTAGAGCTCCAAGAACAAGTAGGCACCTAAGAGGAAGGCAAGCAAGCGACAGCCAATGCCAAGCTCCTCAGGAGGGAGCACCGGCCGTCAGGCCCCGGAGCTTGTGCTCCGCTGCCAATCCAGCGAAGCAGCGAGGGAGCGTCAAACAAAGGTGTTGGGCTCAATCGAACGAAGCGGCACGGCGACACAAAGCACCGATTTATGGCAGGCGCGCGTCAGCACCAAGCGCAAGTCGCGCGCTAGAAAAAAGGGGCCCCTGAGCCAACAAACACGGTCATGTGGGAGTATGGTGAGGTTTCCATGTTATCCATGCATGAGGCCATGACCGAATCCGTTGCAGATTGGTATCACTTTGTGGGAGTGAAGTGTTCTTTTCCATCCCGTTGGAATTTGGGTTGTTTGTTGTGGTATCAAGTTTCTGCGGCGAACAAACCAACAGGTACCATCAGGCTCTAAGGCTTCTAAGGAAGCTCTTTTTCAAAGCCAGATCAGATGTCCTTTGACATCTTTGATGTGAAGCGGTTTTGGCTTTTCACGCCGCACTGGTTGGTTGGTTGTTTGGTTGGTTGGTTGGTTGGTTGGCTGGTTGGTTGGTTGGTTGGTGGTCGGTTGGCGAGGAGCTGTACCTGCTAGTACACTCACTCTCAGCACCCCTTCTGATTGTACTTGGCAGCATCTGGCAGGTGAATGACATTGATGCCATCGTAGAGGAGGTCACTCGCCGTGGACGACAAATTGAGTTTGACGCGCGGCCACAAAAGGTCCAAGCGTGCTTTGGACATAAGCCAGATAATGACAATGACACACCCACAGACACAACGACACACACTTGAGAAGGTTGCTCCGTGGAGCGTGATTTCAGGCTGCTTCGCGGTGTGCATTAGCCCTTTACATTTAGGTACAGCATTAGCCGAGAGCATTAGCACTTTATTGCAAAAGCAACGTATGAGACAGCGTTGAACTGACTTAGAAGCATCAATGAGTGAAAATTAAAAATTGCAGGTACAAGATACTGCGTCCAGTATCTCTTCCAACCGAACACCATAGCTTTGTTAGCACGGCTAGGTGAACGGCCGCCGTGCCCCCTGCTACTGTACAGTGGTTGGAAGGCTCATAGGGTAGGTTAGAAAAAGTACTAGAGTAGTGTCCTTGGAAACAGGAGTGGACACACACACACACCCGCGCACACACCAGCACGCGCACCCGCACTCGCAAACACAGACTGACAGACATACAGGTTTTGCGTTGATGTGCCGCAGTCAAGATCCCTCCTTTTGCTTTTGTTTCGCAGGATTCAAACAAACTTCACATGCATCGTAGATGACCACCACTTTCCTGAATGTTTCTTGTGTGGGTTTTCCCTGACTTTGGGGTTTTACATCAGGTCCTTGAAGCACCTCTTTTGGGAGTGCTTCAGAGTCCTGAGGAGGAGATGGGCGATTTGGACTGCATGGACATGGTCCATTACGAGGCCTGGAAAGAGGAATTGTATCATTTATAATTGTTGTATTCTACCTTCGAACCGTAGATCTAAAGAAACCACAAGCAGGGGTTTGCTATCGTTTCGTCTGCCGATCTCTAGGCCAAGAACTGGGATCCTTTGCCCGCGGAAAGTGGAGATGCGGCCCAGTTCCAGGTGGGGTGACAAGAATTGTGCATTGCCGTTTGGTGTTGTTTGGCTGGTAGAGCCCTTTACTTACAAGATTCCATGATTGCTCAGGCAAAGCGAGTGAAGTATAAAATCTTTGGTCCTTCATGCTAGTATCATTGAATCATCTCTTAATGGATCGAACCGTGACAACAAAACGAAACTAGTATCAAATATACTCCGAGTACTTGCTTTGTTTGTTAAGACTCTCAGGTGAGAGGTTGCTTGTCCTGGATAAGAGGGATACACTCTATTTTTAATCAAGCAAGTCCAACGCCAAGGTGCTATGACTATACCAAAATATCCACCAACAAACCTGTAGCAGCAGCAGGAGGAGCAGCAGGTAGAGGAGTAGGAGCAGTAGAAGCAGGTGTAGGAGAGGCAGTAGCAGCAACAGAAGCATTTGTCGGTTCGTGATATGGCGAACCTGTGCTTTGAATCCAACCGCTTGACTTTGAGATCCTGAATGCACAGTTATTAGCTTGGTTGGGAAGAGAGGTTTAGTGCTACTATATAGTACTGGTGCCACTACTAGATCTGGTGCCACTACTACTGCTACTACTGCTGCTACTACTACTGCTACGACTTCCTCATTTGCCTTGTCCTCCTGCTCCTTCTCCTACTGCCACTGCCACTGCTAGATCCTCAATGCCAAACATGACTCTGATATGACTGGCAGGATTGAGGCTAGTTTGTTGAAGCTGCCTGATTTGTGGGGATGGCTCTTTCAATATTCCTCAGTTGGCTTTGCGTGCGGTGTCCATATCCCTGTGCCAACCCATCGGCACTTCATTGACTCCACCCTCCAGGCCGCTGGAATGGAGAACTTTGAGGCAGGGCCACGACATATAACTTGGGAGACTCCCCCAAAGGCACCCTGGGAACTTGCAGAAACACAGCACATGTCACTCAAAAACAGGAGTCATGAAGGCATTCTTGATAGATTTGCTTTCCAATGCAACCTGACACTTGGCACAACAAGTTGCTGGTGGTGTGGTATGTGCAACAGGTCACCCTGTAGATAAGCACGAACTACCAAAGCGTTAATGAGGTTGGAACTTCACTGGAGTTTGCACGTGATTTTGGCATTATTTGGAAGGCAGCCAGCGAGTCTTCCTTTGTCTTCGTCGACTTCGTCGATGATGATGCCTGTTCTTGTGATAGTTGGGCTTGTGTTTGACAAAGATTTCCATCGTCCCAACTCTTACAGAAGGACGACATATTGCAACCATGGGGTCAGAGATTTGATGTCCAGAAGCCATAGCTTACGTGCCTTGCACGTATGCAGCATTTTGCCGCTTCCTGCGGCACGCTGCAGCACTTGTACAGTCCACATACACTTTCTCTGGCAGAAAAAGGCCCACATTGCTGCCGGCTCCAGAGAGCTTGAGAAAGGCTTGAAATAGCAGAACTTTACTTTGCTGTTTCGTCACGATGACAATTCTTTTGGTCATCTTGTACAGCACTATTGGGCAGAGAGCTTCAAAAAGCCAAGTGCTCCGCGAGACCAGAGTGGGTGGATTCAGTGGATGAAAGTCAAGCTCTATATAAACAGATTCAGATGGCCTCTATATCCGACCGGCTTGTTTGACCTTCGGTTTTTGTGAGATTCTAAACACAGCAGCCTAGAAACAAAGGACTCGGACGGTGCAAACCAGAGTCAGTCCTTTGAGGGCGAGAACCGTAGGTCTGAAACGCGGAGCTCGTTTTCGATGCGGATTGGAGGTCAAGCATCTCATTCAGGTTTCAGAGTCTCATACTAGTAGTGCATTGCAAAAGAATGCAACGATTTTGCAAGGTTTCCTGCGGGTTGGTAGAGTGAAAGCATGAAACATAATGAAACTCCACACTTTCTTTGGCTGGCAGCTGGTCTGTCCGGTATTGCTTCACGGCCGCTGGGCTGGTCGTCTGCTTTTTGTCCTGAGGCCGACTTGGCACTGCGAGCCCTGAGGCGTTGGCCGGTGGCCAAGCCCCCCAAGGCTCCCAAGAGACCCACGCGGCTGGAGCCGCCCTACTTGGACGTGGGGACACCAAGCTGGGAGAAGACGAGTCTAGTTTTGTAGGGAAGTCTCTTCAAGGGTGCCACGCTAGTAGTAACAGGTGCCACGCTAGTAGTAACAGGTGCCACGCCCAGTATCCCCATCCTTCTTTCACATGTCAGCACTCAGGACCCTACCTTCGTCCACCCAGACCAGCAGAACCAGGGCGAGCGCGAGTGGCTGATGAAGCACAACGGTGGAGGCGTGAAGGACTGGGCCACCAGAGGTGCGTAGCGTTTGACTTGAAGAAGTCGAAGATCAGCCACTCTCGGAAGGACCCAGTGACCCATGCGCACACAGTCCTTTTTCTCCTCCTAGTCAGATGCGCACACAGTCGAAAGTCAACGGCTCGCAAGAGAGTACATGTTCTCGCTGGAACTTTTGCTCGCTGGCCAATGTCCAGGAGTTGCCTGGCTTGCCTGATGACTATGAGTGGATTAAGGCGTGGAACAGCTTTGAGTGAATGGCTGGTGGTTTGATCGCTCCGGCTCGGCTTCACTTGATAAGTCACCAGGATGCCGCCGAGAAGGACGAAAATGCTTGGATCGCAGTAAAGAAGCGGATGTCGAAGGCTGGATTCGATCTCATACAGTGCAGTGTAAGTGTCGGCAAAGCGGATTCTTTATACCTTGTACATCGGGACAGTTTTCGAGCCACTCTCATTCAAGCTCATATTTGTTTTGACCCTTTAAAAAAAGCAATGAGTACCTGTCCGAACCTGAAAAGGTGACCTTCGATGCGATCAAACGCACCACAGCTGAGTTGCAGGATGCGCCTCGGCTCACCACAGGTTGCACACCAAAGACTTGAACCGGACATGAAAGTGACACACATGTTCCAAGCGGTTCGACTTTCATTGAGCTTTTGGCCAGATCCTCGAGGCTGTTGAGCGTCCGAAAATCATGCCATGCAGCACAACCATGGAGTACAATTGGAGGCTGCTTTCGTCCCACTTGATTTGTACCTTTGCTGACGATGTCTGAGGATCCCGAGCGTTCAAATGAGAACAAAATAGGACCACTGGCGTTGCATGCACACTTTCTACTCACCTTTCGCATTGTTTGTTGCTCCTCCCAGGCGCTTTACACGCGACAGCCGCTGGTGATCCGCCAGCAAATTGAAGTAGCCATGGAGCAGAACAAGGCCCAAGAGGTAGTTGGTCAATTTTTTGTGCAATTGCAACGGGGAGCCGGTTTTCTCTGTTTTGGAAATTCCTAACTAGTGAGGGAGCTTTCCAAGCCCACTCCACATTTGAAGCTGGTGCAGCCGTCAACACTGAACAGCGCAGAATGGTTGCTTCTCTATTTGCATGATGGCCAACAAGTTCTAGTGATTCTTCAGGGAAGTTGCTGAAGGTTATTTTCAAGCATCGGGTGATTTCTTTGATCCCAATGTTTGTTGTCCTGTATGGTCCACCCCTCGGTTCCAAGCAGGCCAAAGAAGGCCCCAGCAGCAAGGCGATCCTCCAAGCAGAGGTGGGCAAATCGTGAGAACTCTGAGATGAAGCTGTGTAACACTGTCCAGCCATGTCCAGCCTCTCTTTTTTTTGCTTTTCATTTTTGCAAGGTGTTTGTTTGGTTTGTTCTTTGGCCCAGACTTAAAACACACATTCTGGGGTTGTGATCAGATTCAGCTGCTGGGCTTTTGCCAGATCAGTCTTAAAGTCCTCTAGCCTTTGGTCGGGAGTTCTGGGATGCAAAGGAGTATGCCAAGAAGCTCGAGGACTATGAGAAGGACGCACAAAGCACCCCAGGTCTGTCACTACTGCAAACCCTCGAATGCCACAGGCTACATCAACACTTCGGATTTTTTTTGGTTGCGTTTATGGCGAACTTTTGCGCAAACGACCCAGACAGAAGTTGGGTAATGTTGGTTTCGGTGGCAACGGTCACCACGGCACCATCAAACGTCTAGGAGATGTATGAGTTGCGTTGCAGTGAGAAGGCAAAGGAAATACCCTGGAGTACTATTTTAATTTCTACAAGGATTGTTAATTTGTGATCTTTGTTTGTGTAATCCACGTTGTCAGATTCTTTTTCAGTGAAGTACACTCCCGAAAACTAACATGGACCCTGAAAACCACTGGTTGGTAGAGGAAAACAATCTTCCAGGTTACCATTGTCGGGGTCTATGTTAGTTTTCAGGAGTGTATATTACTATATAAATTGTATAGTTATATATATATACATAATATACAGGAAGGGTGCACTTCATCAGTGCCTTTGTTGGGGCTTGGGGTTCGGCAACAAATGCTGGCCTGCAGGCAGTATGCACAGTCTAGAGGGACTAGTGCCAGTTGGTTGAAAGGAGCAAGAGGAGCTTCGGGAGAAGGAGGAGGCGAGGACAACTGATGGCGTCCCTGCTGCTCACTGCTTGCCAGGGCTACTTCACAAAGCTTCTTGGACCCTTGGAATCCCTCTGCATGTCTAGCAAAAGCAGATGATTCACCCATGGGTTACATTTACCCAAGGTTGCAAGACCATGGGGTCAGCATTGCGCAGAACACTTGGGAGATCCACGATTTCATACTCCGCACATCTCGCTGAAATCCATCACACAGTATTTTTTTCGAATGCTTGGAGCATTTAGCCTGTTTGCTGAACACATATGTTGGGACCATTGCAAAGCTGGCAAATGTTCGGGTGCCAGGAGGAGCTTCGACAGGAAGTGGCCGACTTGGACCTCACCGAGGCCGGAGATGGGGAGGACCAGCAAGAACTGGGGAGGACATTCCCCAAGCAAAAGAAGCGATGTCCATGAGAAGAGTTGAGATTGACCTAATTTAACCCTTCACTCTTGTGGTTGGGAGTGGTGATGAACTTTTTTCTTTGCAAAAGAGCACACATCGCCGTTGATCACTGTGAAGCGACCAGGCTTTGGCACCGGATCGAGCTGGCAAGAGCCAGGCAGGATGGCCACCGTGGACCACCTTGATAACTTTCTCTGAGTATTTTTTAGAGCAAATGGTTGCTGCAAGATGCTGCAAGATGGTATTTGACCAGATATACTGATCTGATCTGATCTGACCCCAAAGGCAGCAGATTGCTCTGCAAACGCTACAAGAAAGCTCTGTCGCCAGCCAAGCCCAAAGGCTAGCTTTGCTTCCAGCCATCCTCTTCAGCGTGCGCGACGGCGACTCTTTGTGAAGGTACGGAAGGAAGACTGCCCTCAAACAATTCGATTACTGTATCTCAAAAGCTTGCTAAGAGTTCAACAACCATATGTTTGATTTTTCCCCAGATAGCGAAGCTATGGGGTTCTTACTTCAAATAACAATGAGTTGCCCGTGCGCGCTTTCGAGACAGGTTGCTGGTGCTGGGTGCCGGTGCTAGTGCTGGTGCTGTGAGCTGGCTGTGCACGTGGTGGAAACAGGTTGCTGGTGCCGGTGATGGTGCTGGGTGCCGGGTGCTGGTGCTGGGTGCTGGTGCTGGTGCTGGTGCTTTGAGCTGGCTGTGCACGTGGTGGAGACAGGTTGCTGGTGCTGGTGCTGGGTGCCGGGTGCCGGCGCTGGTGCTGGTGCTGTGAGCAGGCCCGGTGCTGGTGCTGGTGGTGTAGCTTGCATATGTAAGGGGGTCTATTTTCGGATCTTCTTCCTTCAACTAACAACAATGAGCTGCCCACGCGTGCGCTTTCGAGACAGGTAGCCGGTGCTGGCGCTGATGCTGTGAGCTGGCTGTGCACGTGGTGGAGACAGGGTGCCTGGGTGCCGGTGCTGAGCTCTCAAGTGTCCAGCCCTTAAGTCAATGACGTGCTTGCTGGTGTGGTGCTGTGAGCTGGCTGTGCACGTGGTGGAAGCAGGGTGACAGGTGCTGGGTGCCGGGCGCTGGTGCCGGTGCTGTGAGCTGGCTGTGCGCGTGGTGGAGACAGGGTGCCGGTGCTGGTGGTGGGTGCTGGCTGTGCGCGTGGTGTACGCGCAAGATCATACGGCCTTATCGTTCTGCAGATCGTTGCTTCAAGCGTGCTACAAAGTCAATAGTGGCGCTGGATACTGCTTGGCCTTGGGCCAATGACACTTACGGGCTTTGCTGTTTGCGCGCGTACTTTTGTGCGCATAAACTTATACGCGCAAAGATCATACGTTGGTATTCCCCAAATAGGGATAGTAAAAATGAGCTGGCAGCGCGCGCTTTCGAAAGGGTGTCGGTGCTGGTGCTGGTGTTGTGGTCCTGGGTGCTGGTGCTGTGAGCTGGCTGAGCGCGCGTTTAAGACTGGCGGCGCTGGTCGGGCGCTGGCGCCGCTGCCGGTGTTGTCAGCTAGCAAAGCGCACCGGTGTTGGTGTCAGCTGATTGTGTGCGCTGTGGAGGTGCCGTAAGCTATTTGTGCAGGCTTGCGGACATTCTTGTTCCAGCCAGCCGCATGTCAACAGGTCGTGGGATTCTGCCTAGCTATCTGGGTCTATGCTGGTGAAATTTTTGTATACTCACATAAACATGCAATCAGATAAAGGGCAGTGGTCCAAGGGGTCTTTTGTGCTGGTGACATGAGACACATTTTCTTGCTTGAAAAGCCCCCAAAGCTCTCTAACTTTGCCAAACATCTGGACGCCAAGACCCTGTTGGTGGTTGCTGGACATCACCATGTAGACGGTGCGAGCATTCTGGGTCAAGAATCTGGTTTGGAGAAGACCTTTGTCGCAGATCCTCTTGCGGCGGGCACGTGCCTTCGAGCTTCTTGGGCATTTGGACGCCAGCCTGGAGGATCTACTTGCAGCTCGGAACCCAGTGAAAGCAATGGTGGCATTCACAGAGCAGCAAATCTGCCAGGATTGAACGGGGCAATGGTCCAAAACTGTTGGGTTACTTTTAGGCATGAGCATTCATGAAGCCACAAAATATTGAGCTAAGTCCCAGATGTGGCGTGACATGCACAGGGAACCCCATGACAATGACTCTTGCAGTGCGTGCGCAGTTGAGCTGTGGCAGTTCAAAAAGCACCGGCACAGTTATGACGCATATGACTCAAGAAACCCACAGAGGCCACCCGACTGGTAATCTGAAAGACGGCCAATTCACCGGAAAAGAAAAGATTCTTCCAAACGACTGGGTCTTCAACCGACTCAGCATGGAAAAGCAGGATCCACAAGCTTGAAACTTTCCAGCAGGGTGGCTCCCACCACCTTTTCAAGACAGGATTTATGATGTTCCAGAGCGCAGTGGCTCTCACCTGGAAAGCCTAGTGCCTTGTGTGACAGCTATGGATAGACTTCTATCAGCACCTTGGCAAAAAAGAAGAAGTCCTGGTTCTAAGGGGCGGATGAATTCACAAATCCCAAAGGTCCCACATTGATCACATCAGGGCTGTTTGTGGGTAGAGAGGCAGAAGAGTCCTTGGCCTGACTATCCGGCTGACTTTGTCCATCTTTGGCCTCACTGCACTTCTTGAAGAGATACTGTTCTCGTCATGTGTTTGTTTTTTCATTGCTCTTTTTTCATTGCTGCAGAGATGAGGCCTTGCAGAGCTACGATGCTGCTGCCACTTGCTGTGAAGATACATAAGATACATGGTCAGGGGCATTTGCTTCTTGCCCCGGGGCAAAGAAAAGAGTTCAAGGACTCCGAATTAGAGAAAAGGCAACTTTCTGACTTTCTTTTAAGTTTTCCTAAACAGGGGGAACCACATCATCAGTGCGAGCGCTTCTTCAAGGAAGCTTCACCCACCGCCTTTAGGGCGGCGGGGGGAGCTTCCTTGAAGCGTGAGCTATCCTAAGTCCATATGTAGTTAGTAGCGTTCTTATAGCTACTAGCGACTCCCTTGCTTCTACTAGCTACTCCTAGCTAGCTAACCTCAACCTACCTCTACTAGCGGCCTACCCCCTTAAAACATGTCTTAAAACAGTATATCTTAATAAATTCCGTTTGCCTTTGGGCTTCTGACTCGTCTCGTCGAGGTCTTCGCCCGACCTTTCACGACCAACATGGCCACCTGTGGCTTCATCAACGTGGTCTCGGAGCTGCTGCGGCAACGCCTCCAGGGGGTGCCTCGGTAGGAGACGTACAGGTCGAGGAGACCTGTGAGACAGGACTCTTGAGTCACGAGAGATGGAACTGCTTTAACCTTAAATGAAACCGAATTGACATAGACCTTAGGTTCCTTAGATGGCCAAGGGGCTAAGCTGGCGGACAAAGGGCGTCGTTCGAATCCTTAGAGTCGGCATCCTTTTGTATATATAGTCGTTTCTTCTTAGTTGAATGATGGCGCAAAGGGCTTTGAGTGTGTTGAGGCTTCGGACCCCACCGGTGTTCCGCGGCAAGCATTACTTGGAAGCCCCTTGGTGCAGCAAGTGGTTCATCTTGAAGCAGATACTCAGTTTACTCAGTACCTGAAGGTAGCGAGGGAATGAGTTCATAGGTCATAGATGAACTGTTGACTCTGAGGGCAAGACAATTTGCATTGAGGTTGCCTGGTGGCTCCACTGTCAACTACATGGTTCATGATTCTGGAGCGGCTTTTTCGCAGCTGGGATGCCTCGAATCTAGGCTCAGTTTTTGATCCAGCTTGATCTGATGGATCATTTTGAGGATCGCCCAACGCATGCTGCTATTGCTCAGCTGAGTGTGATTCCAAAGCAAGGAAGGTCATCGCGGACGGATGGATCATATTTTTGAAAGCATTGCATGGCAAAATAATTTTCAATAGTAACAAGAAGCTACTAGGGGCTCCTGGCCTTACTACTAGGGGCGAGGACGCTACTAGGGGCTCCTGGCCTTACCTTCTAGGGGCAAGGACGCTAATAGGGGCTCCTGGCATCGCTACTAGGAGCATTCTTACTACTGGCACCGGCGGCGAACACCCGAACATCCAAGGAGTTTGGCGACGGTGGTGTCAAAGACCTGTTGCGAGCAGGCCTTTCGAGCAGGGCTTCGGGCTTCGCATTTTTTTCGCGGTGTAGCCTTTGAGAGACTCTTTGCACCATCGAAGAACCATTCCATTTTGTAGCCAAGATATTCGTGGGAATCAAGAAATGCTCATCTTACTTTCAGCATCATCGACACCCTAAAACACGAACAAGAAAACAACAAATTTGAGTCAATTTCAATTCGTGTTTAGTTAGCACTTTGGCATTCTTCACTTCGTTTTTGCAACGAGGCCTTTTTCGCACCCGTCATCAACACCTGCATCTTGGCGGCTGTCGAGTTGCACATACCTGCCTTTGTTGCATGGACCTCGAAATGATTTGGTCGCACTTCCCAAGACAATCCGCTTGAACAGAAGTAGGACTCTCTCACGTTCATGGGTGGACAATCGACCATTCTTTGTGTTTAGCCTAGTTTGGGAGGACGCCTGACCTGTGAGGCTTCATGACTTTCCAGGGTCTTCTAGAAGGTCGTGGAATTCAGGAGAGGCTTGGGAAACAGATTGGAGGACCCACTCGAGATCAAAGTTTGACAACAGAATATTCGAACTTGTAGTGAGGAAGGCAGGCGTTTGTAGAAGCTTGGTGTTGAAGCTGAAAGAGAACTCAAACATACAATATTTGGGAGTCCCAGTTTCCAGTTCCAGAATCTGCTTGAAGAGCGGCCTTTGCCAGCAGTCTTGGGGCATTTGCTTTGGCTCAGACTCAACCGTCTCATCGGCTCGCTGCGTCCTTGTTGCTCGTTGCGCCCAAAAAGCCCTGACCAACTTGACGATGAGAACGGTGGCCTTGCTCTTGCCAGCCTTGGCCCTGGCCAATCAGTATGAGTCCGAGCTGCAGGCTCTCAAGGACCTCGTCCGTCAGCAGGGGCAGCTGATCAAAGAGCAGGAGCTTCGTCTTAAGGAGC